ATCGACCGTAGCTTGCCTTTATCTCTTCACGGAGATAAAGGCCAGCTACGGTCGATAGATTCTCAGAATTCACAGACTGCGAAATCATGGAGAAGCAGTCGCATTCGATATCATAATCAGTCGAAATCATATGTTTAATCTCTCGACTGCCTCTGGAACCGGAGTAGTCTGTACTCTCAAAGGGTGGAGAAAATGAGACTGCATTCGTTTGTTGTCGAAATCGTCCTAGGGACGCAGATCAGGTAAGTTATATTTAGCCTCACAAGCTGCCCGACCAGCTCAGGCACTTCAAAAAGCAGGCACTTCAGTTCAGGTTGAACTGAAGTGCCTGCTCTTTAGGGAAAATAGTCCGATTACAATACTTCAAATAGATGCTTTCTTTACACTCTGATATCATCCAAAAAGGCGTCATTTGGGGGCTCACTGTAGGGGCTGTCCTCATGTTGCCACTGATCGCCCTCATAGTCAACCCAACACTTAGTAATTGTGCTTATGGTAGCGGAGATAACAAAGGGGTCAACAGAATGTTAATGCACCGTCTATATTGTACTTGCGTGCCACCGCTAATGTAGCATACCCAATCCGCGTCCAGCAACACTCATTCACGCGCAGACTCGGCGCTCGATTTGTATCGCACCCCAGAAATATCCCTCTGGGTAACATCATGAGTGAACGTTCTCTGATATAGGATCTTTGAGCCTCGATTAAAGAACCTCCCCCCTGCACTCCATTCCACTACTGTTGTCTTCGGATGTCTACCTCAGACAATCGCGAATCGCGATGATGAGACACGTGTAGGTTGGCACGTAAACCTACACACACGAAGAAAGGTAGCAGGCCATGGCAGAGCACTATAAACTCGGAGGACAACAAGAAACGCAACGTTCTGTGGAACACTTGATCTCAAACATCCTCTAGTAATGTTGACAACATTATGCTGATGTCATTCAGTCACTGCTTGTGGTTCGCAATGCACTGCGCAGTACGTGGGAAGGAAGCCTGCGCTTCGTCCATGAGAACAATGGAATCCTTGGAGCCTGAAAAGAAAAAACTTGGAATCAAGTAGTGTTGCGTTGAACTGCATAGCAACTGCCACGCGAAGGACGCCAGCTGCTCCCCGTTCAAGTTTGGAATAGCAGCTTTACCTTGTGATAGCGGTTTATCTCTGCTAGTGACATGTCACCCCTATCACTCACGCTCTTCAGCAGGGGCATTAATAGGTATTAAAAACGCTCTACTACAATACATGTGCGTTAACTGCATAGACTACCTAGCTCATGTTCTTTCGCCTCTTTACCGTTGTTGTAGATGCCCGTAAAACTGTGCTTAACACAAGAGCACAGTTGAGCCGAGAGGCAGTATTGTACTTGCGTACACGGCAATAAGGAGAAGCTGTGGTAAATAGATCATTCACGTGCGCACAAGTGGCGCAGTACAACCTATAACGGTATATGCGTCGCAGAATCTATGGAGGCATAGCAATACCGTCTCTTCACTTTGCCCCTCGCCTATTTACAGACAGTAACGATGGCTAACTTATTCCTGATCCTATCGCATCAGGTATGAAATCCTTTTTAATGGCCATTATCTCTGTCGTTACCGGTCTCCTAGCAACGAGCGTTCTACTGAGTGCTGCGCCATCTGGTAGCTACTGTGCGGCTCCTCACACCGAATTCGGCAATGGCTCGGTCAACCTCACCATAACAAGCTCGAGAACCTTCGACATCAGAGCTTCGTATCGTCCTCGTCATGGTCCTAGAGCTTGGGGGAGTAAGACCGGCGTTCCTTACGAGTACATTCCATCAACCGGCGAATTCAAGCTCACAGACATCACCAAGCTGCTAGCCCTGGCCAGTAACATTGCCGCGCCATTCGCCCCCCCGATACTCACCAACTTGACATTCGACGGGGCCATACGGGTCAACCTGAGCGGCTTTGACCTTGGCATTTATCCTCTCTATTCATGCAGACGTTGAGGCACGCCCCTCCCTGTGTGGAGTGTCGCGATTAATTTTCGAGAAGTCGTAATATTTACCTTTCCCATTCGCACGAGCTTTTACACGCTTTGTCTCTGAAAGCTCGCATTCAATCAGCCCTTGTATCCAAGCCAATCGCCTGTTGTGCTCAGTATGCCAGCGAGACATCCATGATCTCCGTATCGGGGGGAGTTTCTAGAAGAGGCTCGATTTTTCCCCTGTGAGTCGAAGCCTGTGAGTTCCCTCCTCATGTGAGAATTCCTCATCTAGTTATGAGGATTTTTTTATAGGGCTGTACAAACGTCACATCTACCAACCATGACGTGCACACGCTTGACAACTACTGAGAGGAATCATTTGTGAGTTCACCCTACGTGTTTGTGGAACTGTGTCTTTTACTCGTTTTCTTTCTAGCTTCACCCTTATAATTCTGCTGCCACGGGATCACTCGATCCCAGCAGAATGATACTGTATCTCTGTATTATGATACGATCAGTACTCACGCACATCCTTTCGCGTCTATACACGTCGCACACGAGCATACAGAGACATGAGTATACTAGATAGAGCGTAGCTACTGAGCAGCCCGAACCTCCGGCGCGGGAGGAATCGCCATACCATAAGCCCAGGCACGAGCACACGTAATGGCGTAGGCGAAGTCCTGCATGAACATAGAGAGAGACATGTAAAACCTCACTTACCTGCACTATCAGGAGGCCCTTGTCCCCTTGGTCAAGATTGGCGAAAAGCGCCTCGTCATCACAGCCAAATAGAGTATCAAGGGCGGCGTGCCCTCGTCCTGTAGGAGGTTTCGAGTGAACGCTTTATCGATGCAATACAACTCACCCCTGGGAGTCATTATCCAGTCTCGCTTCGTCGCAGCCGCCAACAGGCGTGCGAAATCAGAATACTTTACCTATACAAGTACACGGCGATCATTCTTCGGAGAAAAAACTGAATGCCCTACATATCCTCGTCTGCGAGGATCGAAATAAGCCATGGCTTGTGCTGGACCACCGAAGAGGGAGTTCACCAATTGCCCGAAAGAGGCCAATGATACCTAAAGTGACCTCAGCCCGCGGGACCTCCAGTCAACTGCCAATACCTCTCTCTGAGACCTTATACCCCGAGGGACCAAGCCCACGGGATGCACTTGTACTGACACTAAGCGGGGCTCGTGCTTTTTTCCCTCAGCAGTTGGAGGACGGCTTTCCACTGCCGGCTGTGGCACGCCACTTCTAACGGTTTTACTTCCGAACAAATTCGGCGAGGAGCTCGACGAGAATAGCGTTTGGGACGAAAGCCTCGTCATTTGCGTTAGAGGCGGAAGGCCAGGGGGAGGTCCTTGACTTTGGACATCCTTCGTTGGTAACTCGAGAGATCTGCTATTAAGCTTGGTTCCTGAGCACGATGATCGCGCTCTCACTCAACAAGCTATGACTTACTGTATCGCGAGGGCGGCCCGGCGTTCGACGCTGATGGTGGTACCAATAGTTCGCCACTTGTAGTCTTCGGATGCTCCTCTACTGGAGGATGTACAGACTGAGGTACTCCATCGAATAAGGTCGGCAACAGCCTTGAGATTGCCACGTCTGCCAAGACTGTGTGTGAGCTCGTCCTCTCAGGAGAGACTGCCATGTCGGTCCAACTGTTCGAGCGTGGCAACGCTTCGGGTCCTGCGAGGGGCTGCTCATGTGGAGACTGTGACGACGTGGTTTTCAGTGATAGTAACTAAGCCAATGTCGAGATGGACCACAACTTACAGCCACAGTAGAGATACCTCTCGCAAGTGCCTGTTCTCTTCCTCCAACGACGCCCTCAATGCCTTCAACTCCTCATTTTTCCTCATAAGATGCTTATACTCTGGCGACTGTTGAGACGCTCTTCTGGCCGTCGGTGCGCTAACAGCCTGAACCACAGAGAATCGGCAACTCCTAAATGACCCGGGGAACAGACCGCAGCAGGAGGTTCCTTCCCACCCTCAGGCGACGATAGCACTATAGCTTGCGTCGTCCCCGTGACACTGTGTAGGAGCTGCATAGGAATACGCAAGTCCCTCTTTAGACGTTTGAGGATCTCACCGTTGATCTTCTGCGACGAGTATTGTTGGTAGCAGGCGTGTTGTCGATTGAACCCTTCAGTTGTTCGATCTCCTTGTTTAATGAGGCTCTGGTGGAGAACTCCGTTAATGTTCTGATAAAGACTTGACGAGGTTGCTCTACCATCAGATTTCTCACTTCACATCAGCCGGCTCGTCACTCCACGCATCCAATAAGCGACCCTCCATAGTGTTGAAGAAGCTACCAGTTCGGACCTCTGACGGTGTGAACCCGCGCTGCATGGCAAGGCGATGAGGCAATGATTCTCACCATGACGTTCCACGGTATCCATCTGTACACGGTGATAGAGATCTCGCATCACGTCGAGTTGGTGACGGAACCTCTGGGCACTCCAATAACACAGGACCTGTGGGACTCTCAGTGGCAGCAGGCCGCCGCCCCTTCCACCGCCCCACCGTAGCATGGATGCCGTTGTCCTCTTCCTCAGAGTCGTGAAACTGGAGTAGCCGAATAACGACCAAGTCCCGTGCTGGTGAGTTGTATACGTCCCAGATGAGTTCCACTTCGAACCTAGTCGCAGAAAGTCCCCCCTGGTCACGACATATGCAATTGACCTCAAGTTCGCATCTGGCCGCAATTCGCTTGTCATATCGTTGGCCTCATCCACCAGAGGGCAGATGCTTCTAAGGACCTGATCGCTCAGGTACTCCCAGCGAGATCGGTCACAAGCGATACCACACCTCGAGAAACTCTTCCATCCGCTCCTCATCCAGCTTGTTCCTGACCTCCTCAATGTAGTAACGGAGCTCCTACAGTATGCAGTACTGCGGCTTGTCGTACTGAAACTCACCTGGAAGGCCTCACTGGAGTCATCGTGGATCATCTCCCTGGCGAAATCATCGAATCGAGCACCTTGGGCATCAGCATTCTCAGTCTGAAAGAACCCAGTATGCTCGCTCGGTCCGCCACCGCCCGGCTGGCCTTATTCGCTTCTGGTGAGTTCGGGAGTATGAAATTCATGCAGTGGACGCGGCCGAATATGACCCTGTCGAGGTGGCGTAAACGTCGTGGTGGGTCCTCAGGACGAAGGACCTGAGTCGAGCCCCATTTAAGGATCCCTTATAGTAGGAGGTCCACTTTGCCGTTGACGAGGACTCGGCCTCCCGCCTCGACCCCGCTGGCCGTTAGTGCTATGGTGAGCCTCTGATTGGCATGGTTGACCACTTGGCAAAGTGAAGAGGGCAGGCCGATACCCTTGAGGACCATTTGACACTCAGCAGAAGAGCTTCCTATAACAGTAACCTGACAAAGAGGGTCGACTTATGGACAATTCACCGCAGGGGGTCTTACAGTGTCGGGTTGGAAGTAGTAGATGAGAGAGGCCGACAGCATCGGGTCCTGTGACACATTGAGCATGTACGGTGTGTCATCACCAACACCGAACACGGCATTGATCTCAGATGAGGAGAGGCCTCTGTCAGCTAGGGCCGATTCACGCAGTCGCAACATTTCCTTGGACGCTGCCAGCTGAGAGGAAACTGGTATTTGGTTATAGTGGGCAGGAAGTGTTCAACCCACTTGGCTCGCGTGACTCCTCCTGAGGTCAGTCACGAGCCGCTCTCTTTCCTGTAACTCTTCATTCAACATCGCCACCTCGGATGATAAGCTCTTAGACTCCTGCGACTGCAACTGGCGACGTAGGCTACCGATCTGTCGAGGCAAATGGTACTTCGTCACGCGCTACGCAATTGTCACCTCTTGTTGCAAATCTTTGAGCAGCTGTTCGTTCCTGTCGATGTTGACCTTGGCGGGGACCCGTACCTCCTGCACGGCAGCAGCGAAGCGCAGAGTGGAAACGCTCTCGTCGAGCTCAGTTCTATCGGAACCACTACTGACCCAGCCAGGTGAGCTCCTCACCGTGATGGGCTTATGCAGGCTATCATAAAGGTCTTGGAGTTGCCCGCGAGAGAATCCTTAAGGAGGAAGGTCAGTTTAGAGGAGCGGAATGGAATCCACGACGATGCAGCAGCATTATGCGAACCTTATTAAAAATGTTTGCTCCCTAGAGAAAGAACGACTAGATATCCCACCTTTGCTGGAGGCACCAGGGCCGCGCTCCGTCAGATGCTTTATGACCATACCCAGTGTACTCAAGCTCTGATTTATCGAGTTGGCCTCTCTGAATGGGCAGTAATGTTAACCTCAACTGCTGTGAGATTCCGAGGAATCTTACCTCAGTACAGAGCCCGTACTGTTGGTTTTCTGTTGTCTTTCACTGCCAGCTAGATCGATTAAATTAATGCATGAGCGCAGCTTAGGCCCGTCCTCTGACGGACGACACTGAGATGAACGACTTTAGCTTTCTGTAAGCTCTGGTGTAGAAGCCACCTCCAAGCGAATCCTGCAAACTGCGTGGCTACGACTCGAGTGCGGGTTCATGCAAGTGACCGACTCCGCCCGGCGTCTGCTACCAACTGACCAAGCGGTGAATCGCCTCAATCGGTTCTTCTCGTGAACGTACGCTGGAGTAGCTTTTCGAGTTCCACCGGAGTCTGCAGCAGAATCTCTGTGAGATCTCTGACGTAGACCCCCAAGCCCGGATGCTCCATAACGGTGAGGTCTCGATTACTGAAGGAGACAAGAAAGGCCTTTTCGAGGCAGTTGCAGAAAGAGGCTACTCGTCTTCCACAGCCAGAAGATCTCTGAGGTGCTCGTTGTAGATCTCGAGATACGACATCCACACCCTCAGCTGAGAGAAGGAAAAATTCGAAACTTGCCCAGGACCAAAGATTCAAAACATGCCCAGGACCAAAGATTCAAAACATGCCCAGGACCAAAGATTCGAACTATGCTCCGGAACAAATACTCAAGAGCATGTCACCCAGGCAGGGCACCCTCAACGTTCACTCAGCATTATGTAACACATCAGTTGGTTTTTATACAACGATGACGTTTAGGGCTGGCGAGCTGTCGACACAAGTCTTGCATGGACACGGAACAGGATTCTCGGACGAAGCAATTACATCACTCCCACCTACGTCTTTGACTGAGCTTTGCCCAGCAGTGAATAGGCTCTCACTGAGCCTAGGTATAATACCACGATACTCTCTCGAGTACTTAACAGGATCACCATGCATGGTATACGACTTGCCGGAGCCCGTCTGGCCATATGCGAACAGGCAGCCATTAAAGCCTCGTAGACCTATAAGCGATCGTCATCGCGCTGATCCGGGGTCAACTCTTACTGTTTTGAAGAATCCTGGTTCCAATATTTGAGAAGATGGCCTCCTGACTCGCCAAGGTGGCATTAGACAGCTCGCTGTTGTCAAAGACCTGGTGCACTGTAAAGCTTTTGACGCTACTGTGTCTGCCAGCCTTAGCCTGAACAGAGCCCCCCAATGCGTTTCCAAGCGACAACCAGGATCCGCCGCCTACTGCAATAACTATAGTATTATCTCCCTCTCGCCCGATGCAAGGCTCGCCCGGTTGGTTCCCTGGCCATGACCGGATACGTACGACGACACTGATGTTGCCGGCCTCGGCACTCTCCGATGTGGACTCGAGTACCTCAGCGTCAGACATGTGGCGATGTTCAGAAATATAGTCGGGGCCACTGCAACTGATAACCCTCCCTGGCCGTAGAGATTGGAAACTCGGCAACTGTCGCGGTATTTGGTAAATCTACCGTGCTGTATCACATGTAAAGATGAGGCTGACAACTAAGTACATCAGGGAGGGCCAACCTCCGCTCGCACAGCGTGTTCATTCGGGTATCTCAAGACTAACTACAGGTCCTGGTGCCGGGCCGAGAGTCGCCGCGAGCATGCTGCGTTTGCTCCAGTCGAACGCGTCGGATTTGAAGCGTTCGAGTGGTAGGTCACGCGTTGCTGACGAACGACTCTTGCTGCATTCCGTCGGTTTCAGCAGTGAACATCGGCTCGGCATCTGTCGATCTGATGAGCTCGAACGAACGCGTCTAGTCCTAGTCGGGCGCGGTGTCACGGTTTTCCACCGAGACCAACCGCCACCACGAATGCTAGCAGCTGAGGGCCAAATGGTTTGCACCGGTTTCACAGGCTCCCGAGAGCGCGCCCTCGGCGATGATAACAGCTTCCGCAAGCTCTGCTCGGTCGTCTCTGGTCGCGGAACTCTCACTTTTGTCCGTGGACTTAGGTAGGATAGATCGATCTCCGTAGTCTCATTTCCAACCATTGGATATCCCCGCGGCGGGTCCAAAGTTTGCCACCGAGGGGGCTTAGATGATAGTAGCGGCTTTGCTGGAGGTGTTCTCGCTGGCTCTTTCAAACGCGGGCTTCTAGTTCGGAGTAATTGCAACAGGCTCGGTTGGTCGTAGTAAACCGTTGATAAATTGCCTCTGATTTTATCGTAATCAAATGTGAGCATTTCTTCGTGCGCCTTACTCGCGTGCTTTCGTCTTACGCTCGCCTTACCCTCGTCCTTTCGTTCTTCGCTCGCTTCCCGCTTCTCGCGCTCAGGTTTCTGTGGGGGATCGCCTGAGATCTTCAACAGTGGGATGGTTGGTAGCGGCTCTTTCGGCGGTGGAATCGCAGGAGGCGGCCGAGGACTGCCAGGGGGCAGCTCAAGACGCATGCCGCTGTTCTTGAAGACACCAGAGAAATCTCTACCAGCTTGGACACCTTTCGTCAACTTTCGATAACCAAAGACACCTCTACGACTGAGTAGACCTCCTTGCAAGTCCTAACGGATAAGCAAATGCCTTCGATTAGTCGTTCGAAGACTACTTCACGGGGTATGCGGGTTTCCGCGTGGATTTTCTTCGGTGTACCACGCAACTGGGTCCACAACTTGGCTGAATTCCGCAACATGAGGATGGCGACCTTAGCACGGGTCCAATGGGAGCCACTATCAATAGCGGCATCGATCTCGGCATCACTGAGCGGTGACCTCCAACACACCAAAGGTCATACTTGTCCTTTACCTTTGTTGGATGTTCAACTTGGCCATCACGAATCGGCACCGACGGTGGCATCGCTCCAGCTCCTTCTGGGCTTCTGACATTTGCCTCGAGTGATTTGCGACAGCCTGGCCGTATTTCGACTGAATGGACACAACAATGTTAACAAGCGAACGATTCTATCCCACCTTGAACTCTGTGGACGCCTGTTGTATTGCCAACTCCACCATGCGTGCCGCATTCTCAGGGAGTTCAGATTCCGAATAACTTTCGACCTTCACCGTGGATGTGTCCTCCACACTGCTAGTCGTCGTAGCCGTCCTAGCATAACAACAGCTAGACTGATTCCATCAATGAGGATATGAGTGTCAATATCATAGCCAAGCCGGGCTGGCAAGCGACTCACTTAGTCGAATGAACTTCGCCCTTCCACGCAGCTGTCTTGGTAGTGATGTCCTCTTTCAGGTCAGTCAGTGTCTCGTCCTCGAAGGTGCTCCCGATGGCCTCTAGCTGCTCATGCAGTTTCTTGCTAGTTGCGGTAATCAGGTCACAAACCTAACAACAGCGCCTAGCCGCACAGAGCTGATGATACCACACCTCGGCCATTTTCGCATCGGGTACTTTACACTGCAGAGTCGATCCGGCGCCAACGGCAGGGACGGCGATCCTATTAAGAGTTCGATAAGAGTCATGACTCTCATTAGGGTGTACCCACCTCACTATCAAGCTGTGATCTACCGAAGGGGTCTCCATCATCTTTACGGAAACTCAGCTGGCTACTTTTTCGATTACTTACAAATTGACGAACACAGAATCGCGACATATGTTAAAGAGAAATACTCGCATTAGCATCACGCACACAATCGTTGGTAGCAGGACGGTTCCGTCCCAAGACCTCGGCATAAGTATAATACTCCTTAGATCGGTATCTTTGGGAAGTATGCCCACTCCGGCATCCCACTTGCCCTCGACAGTCGCGGAGTTCTTCAGGTGAAGATCTGTACAAGTCCAACTGAAACATAGTGTAGCTGTCCAAATAAGGAACAACCTTCCTTGTCTGAAGCATCCTGAAGGTAACAGTGTTCGACAGCTGAGTAGACGTAGTAGGGCCTCCATGGCAAATCAAAGTGATATCCAAGCGACACCAATGCAACCAACCACTGCTGTGCCGACCCGCTGGGCATGGAAGGGACGGCAGCCTTCTTACTCTTGAGAGACCAAATACTTGCCCGCTTCGTCGTCGATGTAATGAGCCAGGACGAACTGCTACGAATCTCCGTCAATACCATGAGCTAATTTCAGTGTCGATACCCCCCCCTCCTGGACCATTCCCAAGAGCTCACTCACCGAGCCGAGAAGAGCTAGCCTGCAATTGAGAAGAGCTCCGATGGGTGGGGTGTTAGAAGATACCTCCTTCCTCACCTGCTCAACATCTGGCCCTTATAGATGATATCCTGACGGTTCCGGTAAGGCGTGAATAGTAATAGTATTTTTACGGATGGACCAAGTCTGCCAACTCTCTCGCATGCCCACCAATTTCAGCTTACTCTTCCTATGCAGATACGACAGTTATCACAGCAAAATACGATGAGAGCCGCTTTAACTAACGACACTGGTGGTAATGGAATTTTGGTTGTTCGAGCGGGGCTAGGCTACCGGAGGCTGGTTCACCGTTATTTGAAGGTGTACTATCGTTGCTGGTTGCCGATCGGCTGTGCATCCCCGCTCGTAGCTACCTCTAATAGATTGCCATAAAGGGTTATGGCAAATGACAACCTGTCATTGACAAGGGTTGGAAATGGTTGGAAATGATGATAACAAAACGATTTTACACGTGTGAAAACGTCCAAATGGCAGAGGTTTTGACTCATCTTTAATCGTCGCGCTCAAACTCGTTTGGGAACGACCGAACTACAAACTGGGTGAGTTGTACCAGTTCATCCTATTTACTCTGAATGACCGATAAGACACCAGAATTCTTCCGTGTGCGTGTCAGCGATTTGGGCTCTCGAGAGAAGACTGAATTCGTCCGTTCCGCAGCGGACATCGTCTACGCCCAAACCCTGGCCGATCGGAGTAAGCAGTTCTCGAAGGCCTCCGAGGAGTTTACTGGGGCTATGAAGCAGATCTTGGACCGGCGGTTTGGGGAGGACTGGAATGTTTGCGTCGGGTTTAAGGTAATAAGCTCACTTTGAAGTAGTCGTCACTATTCTGAAAATTTGGCGATAATTTTGGTGGAACTGTATCCCACCACTTCTGGAATTGCTCCTGAAATTACTTTTTCATGAACGACTCAGGTCACAGCGGCGGCCATGTCCGCATAAGAAAGTCAAATTTTACTTTGTGATTTTGTTTGCGGGCTGTTTATGCGTTTTGTTCATAGACAGTCGTTCATGTAACATAGTGAACTCCCCGAGAGCTCCTATAATCATTAATGTTGTGCATTGCTCTACATGGTTCGAGGCTGATCCTCGTCCTGAAAATCGGTCGCCAGAATCGTTATAGCTTCTACCTTAGCAAGGACGTATGAGACCTGTCTATTACTTCTCCAAAAATTGAGTCGGGAGCCCAGGCGCTGCAAGACTACTTCGCTAATTTCCCTCTCCCTGCGTCCATTTCTAACGTATAATATTTCGCGGAATAATTTACGCACGGTTTAAACCTGATAACTCCATCGTCGTCAGTAGTAGTTATTAACAATCTCAGGCCGGCTACGCCCTCAAGTCCCGTAAGAAGGAGTCGGCTATCGTCCTCCGGAGCAAAACCAAGGATGCATCACAGCTGCTAGTTGTATGCTGGCGGAGTCCAGCGTTCGAGATACTCGACCGTGAAGTGAGATTTGCCAGAAGAGTGGTACGTCAGGATTGGATTTCACAGGTTGTCCGTCTGCAAGCCAGCAAACAGATCGAGGCCGAGGAGGGCATAGTCGCTGAAGTGAAGGGTGGTGACTCAAATAGAAAGGTGAAGATCTTGCAGCAACCCAAGGTCGTACCACGCCATTTCCAACACGGCTCGAAATCATGACCACCCTCCCAGGTCGACGATCCGACCTATAGTCCCGACACCGCGGTCGTCATCGAGGAGGTCACCAAGTTAGCTCAGTCAGATGAGCTCTGGCCTAGTGACAAGCAGGACCTAGCGATAACGATACGCCAGCACCTTGGTGCCCGTTTCGGTGAGGATAACACTCCTGAGGTTCGCCTGGAGTGCATTCTAGGTCCGTGCTGGCACGTGCTGACCAGCGATGGTGAGATTATGCTGCGTACGGCGGATAAGGGGGTTGATGCTAGCCTTACACTCCAAGTTGGCAAGACAAAGTACTTCTTATATGGTCTAGGATTCACATCCACTACTCTAAGGCATCAGCTCATATGTTGGTGACAATATGAAAATTCTAAGAAAATTTCGCAAAATTGTAATTGGTTCGTGTGCATTTCTACCAGCATTCGTACGTGAACTTCTTGTATGGTTAGTAAGGTTACCTTTGAGTATTATGTTCATGGTTCTAATTTTTAGGATTATTATTTTCCGTCACACCCAAGCGTCCACTGGTCTGCTGTCCTCCCTCACTCCCTCGACTTTGGCCGAGGCAATGCCGACCATTATGATGGTCTTGCTGGCACTGGTCTACATATACCATAGAGGAGTCTGCTCCAACCCTACGATTGCCGCACTCCTACCAGATGTAAACCTCTAGGTCCCGGGTTCGATTCCCAGCGAGGGCATTTTTTTCTAGGCCGCGCTTGCTTTGTGCCCTTCTGATGACGCCTGGTTCACCGGCGTACTCTATCAAGTTGCAGGCAGGTCTCAACTCTCCTATTCTATTATAACTATTGCTTCTCAGGCGCAGTATTCATCCTAAGTGTAGTACGGAAGGTTATGAAGGTCGTGGGCCAGGCCACAGGTCGCCGTCGAGAGCTTCACCAGATGAGAGAACACCAAGAGTAACTTGATCGGATCAACGTATCGAAATCTACACCCTTGTCTCCCTGGTTTCTCATCAAACGAGTATTGTGCTGTCAATGTAGTCGAGGTTAGTTGTATCCCGTCGAGGACGATTCTATCGTCACGATCAAAAGTCAACCGTCACTCTTCTAGTTGAGGTCATCTACCGAATGTACAATAAGACTCCCCCACATAGGCGGCCTCCTAGTGGTCCCTATAGTAGTACAGTAGCACCTTATGGTCTACCACAGAGGCTGCCTCGTTACTCCAACAAGTCCTTGGTCATCATCAACCCACCCAATGGAGGGGTTTCGGCTAGTCCTCTTAGCCGTACTCCTCCCTCACAAGACGCTAGTAACAGGTCACAGCAGAGTGGCCCTGCCCGGCCCTTGTTGCTACCTGGGGTGATGCCCAGGGAAGGGGTTATTACCCCTCCTGAGTTCGACGAGGATAAGGTACCCCCCGCTCACTTGAGGGGAAGATCATTCCTCTGTTCAGGCGGCTAACATGGACAACGTCGACTTTGGTCTTCACGACGTCTTGGGATACTACGCAAGGCAAATGTCCAAGATCAGTGAGTCTCCTGGCCAGTGTTGGAATATATTTTCGCTTCCCTCAACCGAGCTTGGGAGTTTCCTCACTAATTTTAGTAGTGTATACGAACTCCAAGGTAGAAGTGTACAGAAACCAACAATATTCAAATAACAATCTCCTCAGAATTTTCAACACGTGTAGTTGACCATGTGCATATTTTCCCAACCCCCCACTGTTGCTGGCCATCATCAATATGACTGTAGGGACAGACATGCTGGCTGTGAGCGCATCCCAGGCGGTCATTGATGCGTCCCAAACTGAGACGGACGTCTCCCCGATGTCGATCGATCCACCAACGCCCTCTGCTACCACAACTGAGGTGCCCGGCTCGCTGATTCTGATTTGTCCTCGCTGAGCGGTTCATCGCAGACTCCGAGTCGCTACAGTAATTTGACATGGACGCCCAAGCAAGGCAGTCAGAGTAACACCTCTGCTACATCCCGAGTATCAGTTCAGGGGGATCACACTGGTCGTAGCTGGTGAGTCTCCGGCCATCTTGTCGAACTGTTATGGTGGACTCAGGGACCAGGGAGGATGGGGAGGAGGCAGTGGGAGGAAGAATCATCGTGGCGGACCGGCAACCCCTGGTTCGAGGCAGTCAGCACGTTTACCCTCGGCTAAGATGGCATTCAATCCTAATGAAAAACGTAGGCCATCCAGGAGGGTTGATTTGGTTAGCCGATTTGGTGTGGCTAATGCCAGGGACTACGTTACTGATGAGAAATGTGCCTAACGATCTCAACCAAGAAGGCCTGGTCGACCTTATCCTCAAAATATGCAAGCAACGAGGAAAAAGTACATCACTTGAGCTCATCTGAATATTCCAGAATCCACTTTAGGAATTCGAGTGAACTTTTTCTATGCTCCGATGGACTCTGGTACCCGACGAAATCTGGGATATTGTTTCGTTAACTTGCAGGAATCCATGATGGCCAAAGACTTCGAGGAGAGTACCAATTTATGGTTCGCCATGCACCTGCTGTGAATATTCTTCCCTCAGTATTCACGGGCTTGGAACTCCGAGGGGCCGGTCGAAAGCGAGTAGACTGCCAATGGGCAGTTCTACAAGGCTTCACTGAGAACGTCCGCCATTATAAGAATTCCTCGACTGTTATGGACAAGGATAGCTCCTACTGGTCGGGCCAGACTTCTAAAGATGCTTTCAAAAGCCTGTGACCGGCTTTCACTATACGCGATGAAATTCTGCTTGTCATCTAGTGTCATTAAGTTCATTGTAGGCCTCTGATATTTGGTCCAGATCAGCGTCGACAGACCTTCCCACCGATTATGCCAGAAGTGTTGGACTCTACCCCCTCGAAGCAGTCCTATCCGGGCAACAACGGCGCTCCAATGACTCCAGCTAGACCCAAGGGGTGGGTCGTCCATAGAGAACAGAGGAGTTATTCATTGCTCGCTACAGACGCATTCCAGCTCCACAGTCAATCCGTATTGTGGGGCCGCCTGACGCTTTGAAGCCGGGGCCTATTCTGATGTAAGTCGTAAATGCTCCTGCCGGGATTCGAACCTGCGATCTCCGCAGGTATCTTTGCAAATTCGGGGAAGTTCGGGAACTTAATTCACAGAACGAGATTATCGTATGAATCATGCTTGACAAGCATTGCTTGTATCAACACACAGTTCCCTTTTCTCTCATTAGATAGATGACGACGGCCATAGCTATTCGGTGGCCGACTGCAGTTTTGGGGACTCCACTACAGCCGAGCGTATCCTATCACAACGGAAGCACTTCATTAACGGCCTCCGTGTTAGAATCGAGTAAATTCTATAACACATCATCACCCTCCACTAACACTTTGTTGTTCAGGCGATCGATCTTGCCGGATACTCGAAGAATGTTCTACTAGTATGCTACTTTGAACATGTCTTCTCATATTCGAGCTTTCCTCGAGTGGCCGTTGCACTGCCCTATACTTGTGTTACCGTAGTGACCACGAAACAGGAAAATGTTATCGCCGACTTGACGAACATGTGGGCTCTGCAAATTTCTCTCAACTTCGCATGAAATGCGGTATCAAACATGACACGATCCGTGAGAAGGGAACATTTCCCCTTTTCATCGAGTATTCGAAGATTGTACATTTAACCCTAGCGCACCAACGATTTTACATTGAATTATCGTCATACGATTCCGCCACGTATCAGCAGCGCGCGCATTGACTTTCCAAAGGTTCTCTCCCTGCTTTGATAAAGAAATTAACCGTTCAAGTATAACCGTATCAATATACTCGGCAACTCAATACCAAGGTCATCATGTTACACTGACATGGCGGCATGCTACTGTTGATTCACAACACAACGTACCAGCTTTTCCTGCTGTTCAGCATCGCTCATCTGAGGAACCTAATAGAGAACAAAACTGAACCTTGGTGAACCATCGACACGCTCACTTCGCAATTGTGCAGTCGCATGACTTCTACCCTTCCCGTGCTATCCCCTGCTACCAGCACAGGAGAAGTGGGGGCGAACCCGACTGACACTGCGCGATGCCAACGATCGTGTCCGAGGTCATTGACAGGATAATGCACCTTAAAAAATGATAGGTAGCTGCACTAAGCTGGACAGAAGCTCACTATGATGGGGTCCAATGGGCTCCTGTGTATATCCCACAGCTCCACTCTGCCATCATCCATCACTCCGGCAAAGCACGTAGAGTTGTGGGGGCACCAAGAGATATCATTGACCTAAGCTGAGAAAGTCCCATAGTGTACTCACAGCGAAGAATACCGCATCGCAAAGATCCGTTGATTGATAGTTCTGTAAGGGAGTATTTGTGGCTATTCCAATTCTTTCAAAGGCGGCCGAGTCAGCGCGTTTGACCATATAACTGCTGCTACCTATGCGGAGGGGTCCGAGGTGATAACAGGAAATTAATGGTCCCACTACCACGACGCGCTTCCATCGGTATGGACTTGGTGGACCATAGCTTCATGGTCCAATCAGCACTACAGGTGAGGAAGGCCGGCAGCCAGAAGGGATTACATCGCACCTGCACGCATGCTCAGGGCCTCCTAGGAGATACAGTGCAACCTTATAAACAGCAGCTGCATGGCCGTGGTAGGTCTCCAGGTAGTGTTCGTTATAGCTCGTAGAGCAGCGATGGACCAGCCCATCACTAGTCCCGACCAAATACATAGACGGATCTTGCTTCAAAAAGTCCACACAGAAGCCGCAGCTTTGCCTAACTTGAGCTCATCACTCACACTCCAACTCCGCTCACCTGAATGCCAGTCCGTCCTGACGACTCCTCCCCCCGCTGTCCTGCGCCCCCGTATTGAGGACGTTGGTAGCGAGATCTGGGTTGGCCGATCGCTTCAGCGACATAAGCACTGCCCGTTCTAGTCCCTAGCAGAGAAAGGATGCATTACAGACCCTCTACAGGTGCCCGGAGATGATCTACTGATAGGAGCCTAAGATTGCCAGCCGTCTCACCTTCCGCATGTCCCATTGTATAACCTTACCATCAGCCCCGACCGATATAAGGTTCTCCCTCGGGAACTTATCAGGCCCCCTATCAACCTGGGAGCGGCACTGTAGTGATGCTACACTAAAGCCAATGACTGTACCCATTGTATGTCCCACACCACATCAGTATGCCTGCTCGCTACGTTCGATATCGGACCTCCGCCCTGCTGATGCTGACCACCACTACCCCGTTGCTGGGCTCCTCCAGCCGACGCTCCAGATTGCGTCGCGGAACTGAGTATCTACATAGCACCACTCTCCTCGAGGTACGTAGTAGGATTATAAGCTGACAGGTGAGTCGGCTTTCTGACGGAGGTCCCAAATTGCAAGGCCGCCATCCTGCATACCAACTGCTAGCAAGTTGGGGTACGTATCGCTGAATGCCACAGATGAGACCTGATGAATAAATAGGAAGGACGGTATCACTAGATAAATGTGTATCTACCCCGGCTGTGGTCTTGAGGGCACGTTCCGGGTAGAAGGGGTTTTTGAGACTCCAGAACAGTACTGCTCCACCGCCGGAGGCTTTCCATGTGGTATCACAGTTCCCTGGAGAGAAGCCGGGCATCGCGAATCATTACTCTGTATCCAGTCACGAACCATAGGATGCACAGAGGAGGTCCTGGTTGAACTGATGCCACTTGAGATTGGTTACGGATAACCCATGAGTTAGGGACGTTGCTTCGAAAGTGAAGAGATGCTGAGGGCGATAGTAAGCAGGCGTCGTCTTAGGGAGGCTACCATCACCTCCATGCTGGACTTAACGTCACCATCCTGCTCAGTGTCATCCTCTTCCTGCTCGGTCTCTTCAGGAGTCACATCTGGCTTGACCTCAGATTGTTCAGGAGTTGCGCTCTCTCGGCGAGATGGAACTTGCAACTGGTTCGGATCTTGGGCGCCTCTGAAGCGGTTTCACCATTGTGAGCATCAGCGCACATTTCGGCGAAACCATTGATCTCGCCCGAATCACTCTGCGCGGAATCGAATCTGATTATCGAGGGGCTCACTTGTTAGATAGGGCAGATGACCTTCGACTGGCCGAAGGGTCAACAGCGTTAGAAAGAGGGAAGCTATCGATAAACTTCTGTTCTCTCTCGGCCAGTTGGGCGAGTGTTGGATAATTACGGTATCTAACGGCCGATTGGAAAACCGTCTATGCTAGAATGTCTACAGAAGATGGGCGTTGTGATATTCGTTTTGGCTTAGAGTTCTCTCCATCACCCTGGCCGCTTCCCGTAGCTCGATAGGTATCAATAGGTTGCTGCCCATAACCCATCGTAGGGCAGGGGCATCCTCCTGAGTAGCCGCAGTCATCGCATGCACTGCGAGTATCAGCGTACCCGCTCCGTTTCCACTGCTTGCTTATCTTCGACGGCCCCTCCTGAAATCACGTCATTCTCAAACACGTCAGGCGGATCCACGAACCATCTTGATCTCTACGGAGGAGTGCGCTCTCTTCGACTAGCTTCTCAGAGTTGCCTGCTCCCATGCCTCGAGTCAACTTCTTGGGCGAACTAGATCGATTGCCCTGCCCACCGAGGCATGCTATCGTCCACATCACGTAGTTGCGTAGTTACCCCCTTCGTGGAGCTGCCCTTCTTAGATTGAGCAGCAGTGGTCCTCGAGGTCTCCTTGGCAACATGGGAGAGGATTGCCTCAGAGGAGGTCTCGAGTAGACATCCAGGCTTGGCTAGAGATTCCGTGGACTGAGAATCGGAATGTGATCGTGCTCACGCCGTGATGGAGGTCGTACGGTCTCCTCAACATTCCGTTGACATTCGATCTGGATCTGCAAGTCGGTCGGAACAAGCTCTTCTCTGAAGCTGTCATGTATATCCCAAACAGATGCATTAACTCCGAGCGACGAGGTTGCTAAAATGAAAAAATACTGGAACCGAGAATCGAACTCGGGACCTACTGCGTGTTAGGCAGTCGTCATAACCAACTAGACCATTCCAGCGATGCTCAAAAACGAAATAAACAAGTGAGAACGAGATGAACAGTCATGTGCCCTCATATCGACAATGTCAACTCACACTGGCCGATCACAACTCCCTCACCTGGTGGATCCGTGAAGGTCTCCTTCATCTTCTGAGGATAGTTCAGAGTTTGCGCATGCTGGCCTCGGAACTGATCAGGTGCGTTCTGCTTGCGGTTCAACAGAGCCTCGTAGTTCTCATTCTCGGCGATTATCTGGACACAACCAGGACTTTCCAATTACCGTGCTGAATGACTTACCTTGTCGTACGTCTCCTGTCCTTCACTTGCCGCGACGCTGGGTATATCAATAAGAACTGTCGTTGGCGTCTCCGTAAGTCTTATCTCTATCATCCGCTCTTCCCGGGATTTGACCTGATACGAGAGATTCAAGACTTGCAACAAGTCGTTCTCAGCAGCTCCTCAGAGCGTTGCCTACGCGCCCAATGAGAATGGAGATTTACCTGTGCTCTTTGGAGGGAATGCGATCCCAACGATATGTTCTTGGGGGTATCCCTGATATACCCATCAATGAGCTTCACCTCAATACAAAAGCTCTCTACGATGAATGCCGCTTTCGTTCTTCCACTTGTCTAAGTTCCTCCTTCAACTCTTCCATCACTTTCCGTGGCATTGTCTTCAGTACGGTCTCCTGTTGATCCTCCTGCTGTGGTGCGCTCAGAGGTTTCGGCGTAACGTCGCGACTGCACATATAATCGTATCAACGTAGTTGAAGCCACCAATTACCCATCTAAAACGACGTAAGTACTCGTTGGTCGCTCTGGAGTACGTGTAGTAGTCTTATTAATAAGGCCCGTGAAGAGGTGTTGGTGTACCTATTATAAAGCCGTACGTTTCTACCACCATATGGAGATCTCAGAGTCACCTGCTTGGTTCCACCAGCATTCAGACGCTTAGATTCAACAGGCCGTGTTTTGGTGGATATAGCTGATCGCATAGTCGGGCATACAAATACTTTCCCTAATAGTGATAACTGCTCAGCTCCAACAACCAACATAACATCAGCGATCACCATCGACCCGAGCAGCGTCTACCTTCCGCAGTACATCCAGTATTAACAACCCAATACGGCCAAGGCAAGGGAGAAACACAAAATGAAGACCCAGGCGGAATGCTCATCAAGAGCATCCCTGGGAAGACCCTGATTTAATAATGCATTCAACATGCGAGGTAGCGCTCATCATTCAAGTCGACTGTTACACGACCGCGTCTAGTGAACTCATCACTAAAATTACAGTACTACAACTGGCCTCCGGTACCAGCTGGTAAGCCGCGACCTCCAATACGAACTAGCTAGATGCCGCAGGTCTCTAGGTCTTGTTCACGGTTGGACATTCCTACTATTTGCCTCCATGGCTCCCGCGACGTGGATCTCAGCTCCCAAAGATGCTTGAGGAGCCGGGGGCTTGCTGCTCGGGGCAACCACTAGTGTGTCACCGACAAGGTATCACCAATTCTCATATGATACTTCGCTATAAATTCCAACCGTCCATCTGTCGCTCGAGATGGTACAACCCGAGCTTCTTTAAATGCTGCACATCTAGCTTGTTCTAGTAAACTGCGTCTCACCATAATAGTAGCGTGGCTCTCGATCTTCGTAGAGAGCTCTCCCCCTCTGTCACGCTTATCATGCGGTAGGAGAGTGTAATTCCTCAGACAAGGCGTTTCCGTATTCAAAGAGATATCGGAGAGTAACGAACCTCACGTGGCGAATGTGCCTACATGCAGGAGCGCATCTTGGTTACAGACCGCACCATTTGTCACGCTGGAAGGTTCGAAAGCAACGATAGTCGCCTTAATGCTGTGTTGATTCTCGCAATGCCTCAATGCATAATGTCAACTGAAAGAAGAGGATAAGTCAGGGCTTGGGGAGTCCAGGGGTCCAGGGGCGGACGATACGAGTGAGAGAGGAATGGGAATAGGCTTCACAGGAGAGAGGATAGAAACCTGGAAACTAGAAGGTGAAGATAATCGCGCAGTGGAAAAATGAAAATGGCAAACGAAAATTTATCCGCAGCGGAGCGAAGTTACCGAGAAGTCGAGCGATCTTCACATCCACTTCCGTTCCAGAAGTTTCGCAATCAACTTTTTCTCTTGCGAGGTGCTCTGTTGTTTGTCCATATGTGTGTTCGTCTTTTCAATAGGGCACCGAAAAGTTGTGATTGTCCTTGGCTCTCAACCGCTATAACCTTTAGTATGAAGGCCATCTATGCTGGTGGATATATCCATGCCGACCTCTTCCTGGCAAGTCAATATTCGCTATTCTCTTTATGGGATGTTCTACACACTTGCATCATAGCATCCAGCGAGCACTACATGTGTCTTGGTTAGGATACATGCGGTGCTCGCGACTCGGAGTGGACGACTACTCTGCGTGAGGGCGCAATATCAGCACTGATGGGTGTATTTCTCCTTCTTTCGCCTCAACTCGCTTCGTTGTAGCTGAAAGCATTTGTAAAATCGCCATGAGGTGATGGGAGTCAATGGTGGATCAAAATGGACGATGTTGGGTCCGAGATAGTTTACATTCTCACTGCGTCATTGATAAAGTAAGAGCCCTGTCATGGAACTTATACGTGTTCAGCGATTTGCCTTACAGCAGTTCGGAAAATATACGTTATACGATCCACGTTGGTGTTGTTTTGTTCTAGTCTTCAATGTGAGGGAAACGTAAATATAGAGGATTTCCTGTATCGTCTGACTGGCTTCAACTGGGCGAACTAACACGCAATACTTTTTGCAGGCTTCTTGCACTCGTACCAGTCTTGTTCATGATGACGGTGATGATGCCCTCGACGATGATCCGCTAGCAGGTCAGCTGAGGGGGTTGATCTCGGTAGTAGGGCTGGGTAGTAATTCAGGCCTTGGAGGGCCAGGTGGAGCCCGGGGGCTACGTCGTTGTCAAAGTGTTTAGTTTTGTTGCCCTTGGGTCGCTCATGACTCTCGTAGTGCAGCTCCCAATGAAGTCATTGTGTTGAGTATCACTCAACGAGTAAGTTCGCTACTTATGTCATGGGTATGATAGTAGCGAGGAGAAGCTCGTGCTCCCTTGACACGACCGGGAAATCCAGCTTTGAACGCAAAATAATCTTCACCTCAGCGTCATCTCCTTCTACAGCAGTCATACTGTGAAGGAAGTGGTGTAGCTGGTTCCAGGAGCGGTCAGGCCTCGAGTTGAGGCTCTTGTGTACGGACGACAACATCATCGTCAAGACGTCGGGACGCCATAAGTAGCAGTCAACTGTTCTCTATGAGATGGAACAGGTGAGAAGAGTGTTGGTGGTGGAGAGTATGAGGAATGCGGGATACATACTGTTATAAAGCGCCTCGTACCACTGTGCTATTCAGAAATTCACCTGCGAATAGGGACACTATACCCTTGCAGAAGAATTTTCCATGCACGAGTAATGAACGTATTTTAATTGTTTGGATGCACATAAATGCTTTGGGTAAGCGGAAAGAGGATCGTTTAGTTCGGTCCCCAAGTGGCGATTTCAATTTCACGGGTAAGGAATACAATTTCGTGAATTTTTCGTGATGGACTTTGCCCGTCTGGAGATGCCAGAGTGTGTGATTGCAGCGTTCAGATGGAATGCCGTGATCGAGTTTAAAGAGAGCATAAAAGAATTGAGAGGGCAAGACACAGCTGTTGTGGAGGGCTGGGGACCTCACAAATATGGTACGGAATCCCCATCAACTTACGCACGAGATCACCATTGTGGGCAGACAACATCACAAAATCTTGCCGTGTGACGGTCGGGTATTGTCTCCTGAAGCCGATATGAAATTCTGATAGATTTTAAGATTACCAAATTGAGAAGGTAAATCGTATGTAAGACATCCTCCAGCACTTCGGGCGAGCGAGATTTGAATTATCATGTAAGTTGGAAGCATCCACAGACCTGAAAGCATTATCGAGAATGAGCTAAGCATGATACGTGAAATGGTGCAAGCATTATCGAGGAAGTTTTTAAGTGGCAATAGGCGAGAATGGTTATGTCTCGCTGAGTTACTTGATGAAAAGTTGAGCATTTGTAAGTTGGGCAAGTCGCGCCCGATCTTTGGTCCATTTCATATATCCAACCCTGGTCTCGTCTCGTTTGTCAATTAGACTGTATCATTCATCTCTCTCGGTGGAGCCCCTTCTATCGAAGTCTATGCCCTACAAGGCTAGACTAGGGGGTTCGGTCGCCTTCTAGTACCGCTGTGACAGGTTGTCGCTGGCAATGCTCTCCTTAGTTTGTCCAGATAGCTACTGAATGCATAGCATACTAACGGGATCAATTCGCTCTACATTAATCGTCTTTGGGAGTCTCATTTTCGTTACTGGGGGTGTGCAAAGGGGAAGTTCCACACAGGACAGGGTACGCTGTGATGAAGTGACGGACGAGTGGTATGAGTTTTGCGCTCAGACCGCGGACGCTCTCGCAGATCAATGCACCGGTATCGTGATCAAGGGGAGACACTTGACGAAAAGTCATCTGTCTAAGGCGATGTCCACGCGGGACTACCCCTACACTCTATGGGTAACTAGGACTACGTAGAGAGCTTCGACGATCCTATCTCGTAGACCGTTGGGGAAGCCCGTGGAACCTTTACGAAACACTCTTGTGAGCAAGTGAAGACCTCCCCGAGAAGGAACAAGGAGCTGCAGTATGAAGTGCAAACTAAATGCGATGGTCTGCCAACGACACTCTACTTCAATGACGAGGAGGCCGCCGTAGACTTTGCCGTGCGATGGGGTCATCTCCAGACGGTAAATACATAATCAACCTTCGAGTCATTTCTGACGGCCCTTCCCCAGTATGAAGTGGATCCGGCGGTGCTGCGCGATGGCTGGGTCAGCAAGAACCCCTTCGCGCGATTCGCTGTTTTCAAGAAGAAGTTGACTGCTGCTCATGTGAACTTCGACAGAAGTTGGAGGCCGGTTGAGAGATACCTAAAGGTGCCTCTGATGGCTGTTCATTCTGTTGGTCGAAGTGGATCTCGTTCAGATTGGCAGCAAGACATATGTCTACTGTGAAGGGGTGTCCTCTGGACCTAGTAGTAAGAGTGACAAGTGGAAACTCCGTGTGACTTGCACTAAGGAGAATTCTAAAAAGACGAGAGCGTTCGATATAGAGTTCAAGAACAAGGACAGTGCGACGAGTTTCGCCACAATATGGGGAGCGTATACGACGGAGGTGAGCAATTTCGTGGCGCAGTGACGGTAAATCCCCGGTATTGTCCTCGTTCAGGTGCCGATACCTGCGAGAATGATCAAAGACTCGACCATCCAGGCGGCCGAGGTCCTCGTCAGTCCCGCCACTGGACGAGCAAGGAAGAGAGTTCTTCGCGTAGGCTACTTGAAAGAAATGCGACACTGGAGTCGTGTTTCAGCTCGGAGATAAGAAACCGAGAATCTGTCGCGGCGTAGCTGACGTCTTGTATAAGGGTGATGCCGCTGATGTCGTTGCGGAGTGCGATAAGCAGCTACTGACGATACCATTCGGTGCCTACCAACGTGCAGAGAAGTTCGCTGCCGTTTGGGGTGGTTTCAAGAAGGTCTGCGTCTTCTCTCCCTATCAATGTTAGATGCCAGTGGTCATCGTTCAGGTGGATGCGGATATTGTCGAGAAGTGTTCCAAGATGGAGATAGCTGGTCATCCCGACGATATCGTCAGAGCAACGTCAGACGTCGTGTCGCTGGGCAGGAAGATCGCCGCGGGCCGCCTGGAGGTAGCCATTGGCTTTCATTCTCGCGCAGGACTTCGCTCCGCTACCCCTAGAACTACGTTGTTGGCCTTGTCAGCTTGGGATTAGAAAACAGGTGTACTGTTTTACTCAGACCAGTGATGGCTCGATGCTACGCTGTGCGCGCGTGAGTGAGCCGGTATCATACGAGGGAGGCATCGACAAGTACGTGGTGAAGACCAAGTGCCAGGGCCGCACTACTAAGGTTATCTGCGATGACGAGGATGCTGCCTGGAGATTCTCAGCCCAGTGGTCACATTTCCGTGCGGGAGTAAGTCACACTATTTTCACTCTCATACAACAACTTAGCTTCAAATTGCTCGATCCTTCAACACCTGTCATAATGGAATCTTGTCATTGTCGTAATAGGTCTCTACTAACCTCGGTCTAGTGAGTGCCTCCAAGCGTGTTGATGTCCACCACAATGGCAAACGCTTACCGTTCACGCTTGTCACGGCTAACATCGAGAGCCACGTGACCTCGCAGAACGTTCGGATGCGCTGGCTTGGGGTAAGAGCCTCTCCTTCCGACTCCTTTAAACTCTCATCTCAGCTTCGCTATGCTGGCACATCCATTAAGGACGATTTGGATCTATCTCGACAATGGTTCGTCTGCTCCAGGGTGAAGAATATCAAAGAGACTGATGGCGGTATGACCATCTCCCCTCATTTTAGTCATGAAGAGTGTTTCTGCTATTCAGGCGAATTCCACGTCGTCACCACCTGTGGCCTGTCAATTCGCAATCGCATCCCCACTCCTGAACACAGTGACAACGAGGTGGACGTTGTCTTTACTAAGAGGGACGAGGCATACGACTTCGCCATGCAGTGGGGTCAATACAATCCGGTGGGTCTATCCTGTATCTGTGATTGCTTTGATCATTGGTATGATGCCAGGTGAATGCTCGTGACGTCGGGGTGATGTATGCAACTGAACCCGTGGTAGATCTGGTCACTGCAGGCTTCTACCGCGATACGTTTTCTGGGAAACTGACGGGGAGGGTGTTCACAGTAAGATGGCGCTTCTAATGGAGCTCTGATTCACGGCATGTCTGCAGACTCGGGACACTAACTTCGAATGCGGTGCAATATCTGCTCTGGAACAGCAGACCAACGGTGATGTTCATATTCGGACTGAGTGCTCGGCCGAGCGGAAAAGGGAATATCTCCCTTCGGCTGACGTAGGATGCCGATTTCCAATCGTCCAAGAGGCAGATGGTCTTCTCGTTCTCAGACAACACTGGCGATGAAGCGGGCTGAGGCAGCTGTGAAATGGGCTGTCAAGTGGGGAGATGTTGCCAATCCTGAGGTGGGTGTTAATAGCATTGTCGGGTCGCAGTTGAACTTCACTGGCTTACATCACCGTAGCAGAACTCTCGAATTATGGGTTGTCAGATCCACATGGCTGCGGCTATGGTATCTGGCGCTAGTGCGAACGTTGAGGGCCAGGTCACAGGGACTGTGAGCATCGCCAAGTTGGTCTATGCCCCGACGGGAGCTCTGCATAGTAGGGTTATCGAGGTGAGGTCGACTGTAGATGGACAAGCTCGAATTCACAATGGATATCTTGTCTCAGATCAATGACGACAGCGACAAAGTGTTCGTCTATAACTGTGAAGGCGTCTCATCGGACATCGCCGTTCAAGGCACTTCGTACACCGTCAAGGCAAGGCCTCGGCGCATCGGGTCTCTCGATAACCCTCCCTTATTGAACTATCAACACCCTCAAAGGCCATCGAATTATCTATACAGGTTTTGTGTGGAACTTCCACTGTTCACGTAACCTTTCCCAGCCAAGAACTTGGAGTTGCTTTCGCTCGCTATTTCGGCGGCATGCACAACGCTAATGTAAGCATAAGAACATTTATGCAATCACTAGGCGAGTCTAGCTACCACTGCTGCGCGGTATCACAGAAAATCATCACAGTATGTTATCATGCAGATTGAATCTGATGCGGAGTTCATCGGATCGTGTCCGAGTGCCGTCATTGGCACCGGTGGTGTTCACGAGTTGAAACACGCTCGGCTGCGAGAAGAGACAGGCACCGGTGAAGTGAAGAGGATTCTTGTTGTGAGACACTTCCAAGCACGTTTGAGTCTTGCGGAATTTCAACCTTGTGAGGTTCACGGAGAAGAGAAAGAGCTCAGCTGTTCTAACATTGTGAACCCTCCACAGTTCGATGACGGTGTGTACAAGATATCAGTCATTTGTGAATCGAAGCCTGTCACGATCACTTGCACGGACTCCGATCCAGCTGTGCTCCTCGCCACTAGATGGGGTGCATATCCTCGTTCGGAGGTCAGTTTTCTAACCGAGAGGCTGGGGGGCATTAGTTACGATGTTTCTATTCAGCTCGGAGTTGAGCTCTATCCTGGAGTGTGTTCGAGCGCTCGACTGGGGAATGACGAAGGTTGGACTGTCACACGACAGACCGTCACCATGACAGGAGCAAGCAGGAGTTTCGTGGTAGGTCTACATTAAAGTGGCAACATAACTTTTTCGGAGCGCCTTGGTTACTCTCGCACTCTTGCACAGCTCCGGTGGCTCAATCGGATAGAGCGTTGGACTTCTAATCCAAAGGTTGCGGGTTCAAGTCCCGCCCGGAGTATTTTTTCTGTTCATCCTCTATCCTCGAGTTGCAGGTTGAGAAGGCTGGAACTTCCACCCAAGTCACTTGCGACGGGCTGCAGCAAAATCCACAAATCGTATCTGATGGAGTCGAAATAAGCATTGACTGCCGTGAGGGAAGTTCTGGAACCCCTAAGAAGGTGAGATGTGGGTAGACAAACGGGGAACTTGATTTTTTGTGGTGATTTATTTTACTTTTACGACTGAATGCGTAGTGATACGAATATTTCAGTTGGAACTGCTCTGCAGTACTCCGTTCGACGCTATCAGGGTATGCAAAGGACCTCTGTTTGAGAAACAAGATGCTGTGGTGAGTCTAGGTGTATCCTTTCCTGTGGGTACCTGTCATCAGGTGGAAGTCGGCAGCAGAGTTCGCAGCGCCTGCGACACTGTCACAGTCTCTGGTCAGTCGACATCGATGCACCTGACATCAGCAAGCATACAGGGCACGACTGTGGTCGTCGATGTAGGGTATCGGCTCATTCTCTTCTGGCTACTTCCCATCTCTAGGTTGCGGCTGCTGATGAGTCGAACGCACAACAGTTCTCTTGCACACATTTCTTTGGATCTCCCGAGGCCACTGATCATCAGACTCTCGTTCTCCGTGCGCAGTGCGGAGAGGAGGTGGATCATACGAAACCAGGAAGATCCTAACTGGCAACCACCTCCCTTAGATATTAAACTTTGAATGCAAGGACACGGCTGCGGCGCTGCAGCTAGCTACGTTTGGGCAGATCGACCAGCCAGCAGTAAGTCGATCGTGTACGTTAGGAAAGTCACAGTCTATATTGTAGATCGCCCTCCAGCAAGGATTGATCAACTCTTGCGCTGAGGTGAAACAGGAAGGTATTTCGAATGCATTCACTCTATCAAAGGTGACACGTGAGTTGGAATCTGTCGAGTTGTATGTTAAACTGGTAGGCTACGTACCGGCCTAGCTTCGTGAAGACATCGGGTTACTCCTTCGTCATTGGCTCGGAGCAGGATCTTAAAAGATGGTTAACGGTACGGAGGCCATGTTCCCGGGGATGAGACCGATTTCGACAGATTACACTGAGAAACGATGACGAGCCGGGTTACGAAGACTCTGACTTTTTGCTCTCCTGCAACGCCGTGGGCTCTTCACCAGAGCCACTCTCCGCCCTTGATAGGAGCGCTGACAAGTACAAAGTAACCGTGGACTGTGAAAGCGCTCGAGGAACGGGTGGGAACACCAAAGTAGAGGTAGGTGCGGTAACTATCACCATTTTGTTGGATAAATTGAACATCAGGTGTTATGTGATGATTTCCATAACGCCATGCAACTTGCTACAGTTTGGGGCTCTCTGGATAGTTCACAACCGGTAGGTTCCGCTACATCAACGCTCCATCTGTCGCACTTCCAATCTGTAGGCGAATATAGAGTTGAAAAGCCTGCATACTCATCTGAAGGCAGCATGGCTTGACACTACGAAAGTGGAACCCGATACGGTTCGCATGTTCGTCGCGCGCCCCGAGGGAGAAAAGGACGAGGGAAGCATCCTTCAGGCAAGTCTAGAAGCCGTGGAGAGGAGAGACTCTTTCCTTTTTTAGATTCGCTCAAGCTCCTACAAGTGCGACCCTAATGCAGCGCACCGCGTTTACTTCAAGCAATTCTTCTACTATGTTACTATGCATTGTAACGAGCTTTCACAGGATAAGGTCACCCTGGGGGAGCCACACAAGGTGACGCTCATTGCCAACAATGAAGAGGCTGCGCTCACTATCGCGCGAGCCTTTGCTAAGATACCTGTTGACAAGGTAAGAACTATTCGTTATTGTTGAACTCCCACTGTCAAGTGTGCCTTGCTGAAAATCGTCCATGGCAGGTGTGGATTGATCACACGCTGTACTTCGCTGGCGAGGAAGGAGCTACTATGATCGGCGATACCCAGACTGCTTTGACGGAGGCATACGTGAAGGTCTTCCCGAGAGAGTACCTACTGGATGTAAGGACTCTATAGCGTTGTGGAGAATTGAAGCTTGGCTCGCTTATTAGTTCAGCGGCGCGTTCCAGTACAGCTGCAATGAAGCCTCGCAGGCTCCGAAGTACACGTCAGACAATAGGTATGAAGTTACGCTAACATGTGGCAAGCGTGACGATGATGATGAGCCGGAGCAAAAAGATCAAGTCGTGACCATCGCCTTCTCCACGGATTCCAAGGCCATTGGTTTCTCTAATGCATTTGGAGGCCTACTGTACCACGAGGTGAGGAATGACTCAGCCGGTCGAGGAGTCTATCCAGTAGCTTTGTCATCAGGTTGAGTTCGATTCCACTATCCTTCATACTGTGGACTACATCTCACTCGTAGCAGAACAGCATATGCAAAGGGAAGAGATATACCCACTCAAGAGAGCTACCGTGGAGTTCGATCTCAATGGTCGTCTCACTTCTCGTCGTATCGAGGTGAGCTGATGCCCAGCTTGTGGCCGCGCCCTCATCTTCCTTTCTCAGTTTTTACGTGCGGATGAGCATTACGGAGGTGGCAACGGCAAACGCACTTATCACCCCGTTAAATTCGAGTGCGATGAGGAGCTCCTCCTTGACCGCAAGGCTGATACATCTGGTCGCATCATCGCCGCGACAGTAACTGCGACATGTGTTGAGACCTATGGTGGATTCCATCAGCAACATAGCGATAAGATTAAGGTTGCTATGGCCTTCCGGAGATCCCCTGATGCTGCGGAACCTTTCATGAACTGGTGGCGCGGAAACTTTAAAGTTGTTGATAATAAAGAGGTGTTATAGGCCAATGAGGCTTGAGCTACGATGTTAAAGTATTTTACTTGTTATTTAATAAAGGCTTGTGGGAATTGTGCTTCAGCATGATGTTTTTATGTACTTCGTGTAATGTACCGAGATGCGTGTTTATCAGTTGTTATGGTCGTCAAATCTGTTGCGTTGGTCAGTAGAAGAGTCGCAGTAAGCAAGTGACCATTAGGACGAGACCGTGGGATAATGAAATTGGGCACACGCCGTTTAGATCTCAAACGACGATTCATGAAAGTGTGACATGCATCTCCGATGTCCTCATTACTACACCTTTTCAATCTCAAATTCAACAAGTGGGAGGACAAATTAGATAGATGAAATTTGATTTTTGACGAGTGAAAGGAGTTTTCACGAAATGAAAGTTCAAATTCGAAATGAAAGTTCGATTTTCGTAGACCGGTTGAAAGTGAAAGTTCAAATTCGTAAATGAAATTTATGAATTCGGAAACGCAAGTTCAAATTCGTCGAACACAAGACCAATTTCGACCAATGAAAGCTCACGAATCCATACTTATGGATTCGTGATGAAAAAGCATTCGTCGGGACAGCGGTTGTGACAGGGAAATGTTTCGCTCTGTTATCATCGTGAGAGCGCCGTTAATGAGGTTATCCGCATAAGCAGCCTTTCGTAGGCTGACGAGAATGTGGCTTTGCCTCTCTCCTTTGCGATGTACTGTAGCGGTGCATGCAAAGCACAGGAGTCCTCGGCCTGCATGCCAGTATATGATGCCACGTTGAAATCACATTTGTAGCAGAAGATTGTCATCGATAGACGGAATGGAGCGTCCCCTTGCTAAGGCTATTAACTTTTAGATTGCCGTGATCTCTTGGCAGCCTCCTGATGGGTGTTGCGAATGCAATCGCCGTAGAGATCGCACGGCGCAATGGATGCATTTGACTGATGCCGCCTCCACCTCACACTCCGAGCATGCACTGTTCGATGAGCACTCTGAATGGTCCACTCTATAGTATGTTGAATGCACTGCGACCATACACGCATCGCGGAAAATGTGATGGCAACTACCGCTCACCCAGCACCCCTTCGCACTCGATATAGCAACTGTGGAAGACCGACTCCAATAAAAGTACGGTCACTGCTTAGGATTGGCCTGAATCATGACGTTCGACGAAAGCAATGTGCAGATATCACGTCACGAATATTCCACTGTCGAACCATGTAGAACAAAATAGCTCAGAATGAGCGGGATAAGACACTACCCCCCACTTCCTGAGCTGTTTCTACGTTATATATGCATCTCTCTCCCATTCCGCGTCACTCATTTCCTATTTCTGGGAGTCCTGGATTCGAATCGACTTTACCCAATCGTTGAGCTCATCAGGGCAGTCTATACTGTATACATGGCCAACCCCCAACGTGACCTCCATCCATGCTGGGCTTCCCTCGTCAACTCTTGTGACAACCCTCCACTCCCAACGATGTCTACCTGAAACTCGCAATTCAACTTGTGCAGTCGATAGACATGTAGGTCATCTACGATCTCCGTGTCGAGCTTCTATCCACCCCTACATGAGAGGCATGCGGAAGCCATCACAATAGAGAGATTCCCAGGCAGCAATGAAACCTGTTTCACCAATACGGCTCCGGTGATGCAAGGCGAAACTTTACTGTTGAATTTCGGTGATATCGTACGGCATTGACTAACTTCCCAACTCAACAATTGTGTCGAAATCACCTTTCAAAAGTGCTATCGACAATGCTAAGCAACCTCGCCTTAATCGTCTCTAGAGGTTCTCACATTAGAGCTACACTCCGTGAGACTTTGTAAACAACCCACTAGTCTTAATCAGTGGCCTCCTCAGCGCCACCAGTACTGCTAGCCAC